CTTTTTTTCTGCCAAATTATATTACTAAATCTACAGGGTTTGGGTTGTTGAAAAACAAAGCCGAAGCTAAGCCTCCAAATCAAATCATAAATCCCTTGATTCTAAATCCACAATCTGTTGTAGATTTGCTGTACCTTTATTATTAGATAAATAAAGAAAAAGTAAAATGGTATTTTAAAACATTAGTACTTCTTCACAAAGATTTTGTCGGAAAAATATCTGTCGACAAATGAATGATACTATTCTCGAACATGACATGAAGACATAATTTAGATTTGCAAACACTATTTAGGTGATTCTTTATGTAAGTACTTGTAAACGAGGTTTACATATTAATATCTGGAATAAATATCTTTATATTCCGAACTGTTTATCATTTATTTTTGTCATATATTCATCTCGATCTCAGAATGTTTTCTTTGATACTTAATCATGTGCAAATAACTCGCGAATGCGAAAAGACAATGCGATGTGGATTTTGCTACAATGTAAACCACATTTCAGAGCATTAGTTTATGTAAGAATGCTAATTTTTAAAGAAATCACTCAATTAGCAAGTCTTATGCATTTTTCGATGATGATGTTTTCAAAAAACCGTATAGAATGCTATACGTTGATGATCAAACGGACAACGATCTATAAGAAGTATGAAAAGGTTAAATAAGTTAAATTAGCATAACACTTCTCGTGTTTTTTCTTCTTCTAGACAACTCTCTCCTATTCGCATAGATCGAATGCTACATGTGAACTTTTCTTATCTTCATAATCAATATCAAAGAAAAAAATTGAATAAAATAACACGCTGACAATTGGCTACATCTCTGTTGCAAACATTTTTTTGACTAATTAAGGTAAAATGTCTGCAAAGTAGAATCGGAGGTCAGGGAAGAGATGAAGAGGCAAATATGGTCGTGTTTTGGAATCAAGGTAAGGTTTATTATGTGAAAAAAGTTTATTGAAAACGTGTTTTTTATATTTTTTTCTATAATGTTAAAGTGATTAACACAAGTTTAGACATAGATTTTAACAGTCAATGGAGTTTTCTATCTAATACATTGTATGTACCAATTTATCTAATTTTTGTTAGGTTCAAGGTCGAGTAGACGTATAGGCAATAGTTTTTTTCATTCCCATCCTCATTGTCGCACGTACACCTATGCCCCATGCATATAGTTATAAGAGGATAGAATTAAAATGAACGGAAAGATGTGCAGTTGGTATCATAGTTAGAAACTTCATTTACAAAAACGATTGATTGAACTCTATTCAATTTGTAAATTGAATAAAATGAATTGGCAGCATTCTTCTTGAACTAAGGACAGAAATCGAGTTGAGTTGACTAAATAGTTTCAGCATCTCGACAAGGTTCAAGCATGATGATTACTTCTCAGTCCTATTATTAACTATCTATTCGAACAAAACTGCATCGATCAAACGAAATTTAATGCTTTTCTCGTAAATCACTTAAGAAAACTGAAATAGTATTTTTGAATTAGTCGTGTACTTTAAATAAGCATGTCATTATACGCAGAGAAATTAGAATAAATATCAAAGACTTTGACTTGTTTTTTCTTTACTTCTTTTTTTCTGAAAACCCAATTAAATGTTCAATTCTCCTAATAGTAACATCACGTTCACTGCATCAAAATCTGAAGCATCGTAAAAATTTCTACTTCGAACTCAATTTGAAGCTTGATGTTTGATTTGATTAAAAAAAATTCAAAAGAAAAAGTCTTAGAGGGATTATACCATTTTAAATATAATTTCTCTCCTTTTATAATTAATCTTAACGTTTATTAAAAAATATTTTTCATTGATAAATGATTGAATTCCTCAATAAAAGTAAGTAATTTAACTTTTGTATTATAAGCTTTTTTTTATTTTCTTCTTTTAAACTCATACGGAATTATCAACAAGAATGAGTGTTCAGAAAACTCGTTTTACTTTCTCGACGTACGCATCAAAAGTTGTCATTTTCTGTCGCGACGATCTCAAGAACGGAACGTCAGAAAATAATCATTCAAACGCGAGATTGAAATATCGAGATCGAACTGATACCTTTTATTTCGATATTCTTGTAAACATGTTTCATTTCCGTATGAACAGCTTCCGAAAATGACAAATATGAGACAACTTTACTTTTCTTTATTTTGGGATAATTAAAATCGAAAATGTAAACGAAAGTTAGACGCCATTCAGTCTGCTCATGTGTCAAACAGCTGTAAATACAGCTGATAGAAGATAATGAATCATAAAGATAATTAAACTATCAATCGAAAACATTGTTTAGAAACATGTCGATAGGCGTTTAAAGAGTTTTCGTAGTGATGAATTTTATTATGGCCACTTTTCATTTCAGTCTTAACTTTGATCAGCTGATTGACCGAAACGTAATATTTTCTATTGACAATGATCGAAAAAAACGTTCTAGCGCGGTAGAATGTAAAGAACTTGACCAGAGACGTCACTCGACATTCAATCCAGAATCTTTCTTTTTTATCAAATATCGTTTTCCTGAAATATCGAAATTCGTGCTTCGCACCGCATTTCCTATTCTAGTCGAAACTCGAAACCATCTACTTAATTTAAGCATCTGATTGTATATTCAAACGAATCAGTTTTTTATTTTGCTTAACTTATACATCACACACGTACATTCACATTGTCATGAAAAGCCAGACACAAAAGAGTTAAACACAAAACAGCAGCTGATTGATTCTCAAGCCGCGAAGATTTTTTCATTCCTTCTCATTCATTGTTCGTCATAAAGGCATGATTTTTGGAGTATAACTAGAACAAACTATCCTCTATCCAGTGCTGAAAGACATTTTTAAAAACCTTCTACTGAAAAAAAAGTTATCATAAAAATAGTCAAAGTTCTGTCGAGCTGATCCGAATTACCCCATTTTGGATAATTGGGATCATTCAAGCAAATCTTGTCCGGGTAATTCAGATCACTTCAGCTATTTTAGCTGAAGACCACTTCTGAAACCTCTATCACTTCCATAGTAGTACAAATTCAATTAGTACTTCTCAAGGCAAAGTTGTTCATCTCACTGTCATCTATCTATAAGTGTAAAATAAGATGACATTCATCGGAAGCAATTAACTATTTTTTTAATTAATCGAATCCTCCAAAAAAGTGGTTTCTTCTATCATACCCTCACTCTGTTTCTCAAATTATTTCAGACCTGAAGTAGATCATAAGGAAAAAAATTGACATTTCAGATGCAGAAATGTTTGGGCTACAAAATGATGTAGAAGAAAACAATATTGAAGACTCATATTGTTGAGTTACACCACTATTAACCATACGACAAGATATTGCTATATAGTAAAACTNCACTATCAACAATAGAAGATTTTTATTCTTGCCTTTCATGCAATTGTTCATCTGTGAATAACTGGTTGTTAGTTGATAAAGTAATTTTACTTAGAGTATTCAAAACTTTGTCGACAAATTTTATTTTAAGCTATTCTCACTCAAAACAAAAAAGTCAATTTTCATCAGAAAAATCAAAATTGAGATAAAAGCATTGCAAGATAGCCTGAGATCTGGGCTTTTATTAAAAAGAAAATGTCCTTTTTTATTTGGCACCTTGTGTTTTTCAAACTTATTCTCTCCTTGAAAAATATACTTTATTGATAAAAAGTGAGAATCGATTTTAGTTTTTTAAAGTTTATGCTTTTTGTGATCGCGCTTCCCAGAACTCACGAAAAGGTTTCCTTGTGATCGTTTGCTGTCTTTCTTTGAAAGAGCATGTGAAAAGCTGCAGCGCTCATTTTAGAATTAAGCTTTTTATAGATAATAATAAAAAAGCACTATTATAAATAGATGACTATAGTTTGAGGGTTCTTCACGGTATTGAACTTGCTATCCTGTTTATCGGCATTAAAAATAAGAGTTTACAAAGAGAGATTGATGAGGCGTCGTAATCTGACATGATCTTTCAAATAAAAGAAATTAAACATATAGCATGAGAGTTTAAAGTAAATTTTAGGTTGCCGTATAAGCTATTTTTGACTCTTGTTGGTTGAATATCTCCCGAAAACATTATGATATAGGGCTGAAAATTTTAGCATAATCTCTCGCCTACAGACCCAACACATTCTGGCAGTTTCGTACTATTTGAATCCATGTAGTTTAAGATCGATTTTTGAGAATGGCATTAAAAGCAATAAGAAACACTGGTTTAGTCGTATTGGTGTCTGCGTACAGTTGGCTCTTTCTCTTAACTGATTGAAAATTAAAAACTTTAACAAAGGTTTGCTTTCTGTGGGAACGATTATGATTCAATATCTATGAATGTATAGTAATAAGGTTTCATTGCTCAATATAATTTTTGAATAAATGCATCAATTTAATGATAAATAATAAACTGTTGATTATGTTTATAGGTGTCAACGAATTGCTGCTGAACCAGTGTTAACGAATATGACATATTACATGCTGCAGATTTGAAATGTAAGTGATGTCTGCTTTTTTCTGAGTTACAAGTCGACTATCTTTACTCATTTCCCATCAAATATTGTTAACAGTAATGTTATTCACAGTTAGAATCATTATCAATGGAATAATATTCACCTATAAAGCGACAGTTCCATTTAAAAGTAGTATTGAGTAACGAAGTACTGCTCATCAGCAATATGAGTCAAAGTGTAACCTTTCGAAAAAAAAAATTCTATCCTCGGGTTATATTCAAATTTTCTGTCAATGTATATCGAGTGATAGAGAATGTAATGCTATATTTTTGTCTATATGTTTAAGTTAAGAGGACATATAATATCTATGCATAGACGATTTTATAAACGATAGGGAAACATCAATACTTATTATTGTGTTTTAAATCAAAATACTTTGAGAACTTTTTGAACACTTTACATGTACACTGTCTCAACAGGCTAAGACGCAAGTGAACGATAGGATAAAGAAAGTTCGTTAGAAAATAAGTTATTTGATTCAGTCATAAAAAAGAAAAAGAAAACCAAAAAATGATTTATTACTCGGCATGATCTTGATTTTGTGTGATTTCAGTATTACTTTCAATTTTATCATTATCTATTGAATGCATAACATCATCATCTTCTTCAGGTTCACTATCATCTCTAAAAATAAACAATGCAAATAGTTACTAAATAGAACTTTTGTTAAACGGTAAAATTTGATGTGATAAAATGGAAACTTAACAAATAAAAATCGTTTGAATAATTAATATTGCAAGTTAACTATATATTCAAATCTAGCATGAAAAACCTTTTAATGTTCACGCCTGAATTAAAGAAAGGAGAACATACTCTCAATAACTCGATAACAGTAACAGTTAGCGACCTGTGATTTTCAGCAAATGAAAGATGAGAACTTCGAACTTCTTTTTATCTGATACTATATAAGACAAAATTATTTTAGAATTGATCATCTGTGCAAAATATTCAAAAAAAATGCATGAAAATGGTGTTCTGTTTCGATGTAATTTTGATTTTAACATGTGTTTCAAATCTATAGTTCAAGGCACGATTCAGGTAATTATCTTCTCATATTTCAATGCTGAACAAACAAAATCGTGTATTTATTTGATCAAATTATAGGGAATTTTTGTTGATTTAAAAAGAATTTTCTTGAAAGAGAACACCGTTTTCATGCATTTTTTTAATGATCTGAGAAGATGATTGATTTTAAAATAATTTTTTGTCTTCTCGAGTTACTAAGCTTGCATCCACCCCTCTTTAATTCTGGCTTGAATATTAGATATAATAAGTTTTATCTTAAAATCTAATCGTCCAAGATTTATACCGATAATTCGCCCCTAGACAATTAGATTCTTGATTTATAGTGAATAAGAATATTAAATATTAACTTAATATGTTCGTTCGGTTGAATTATTATTAATGGATTTTTTTTCAAAATCAAATTTCATAATTATACAATGAACGAAAATATTGATTCATGTTCATCATTATTTCGAAAAAGTTTATTTGTATCGACAACTACTAAATCTATAATTAAAATCAATTTTATATGATATACCTATATGGTGAAGAAATGTAATTTGATAGAATAGAATTTTTTTTTTCTGTTGATCCATGATTTAGTAATAAACCACGTTTTTGTGACTAAAATTTGAATGGAAATATGTCTAGAGCTAAGTTTGATTCTTTCAACTTACATTAGCACCATGCTGGAGGTCACGTTCATCAACTAAACGTTTATTTAAAGATCTATAAAATAAAGAATATACTTTTGATTTGAAAATAATTTTGACAGACTTAAGTTTATTAAGTTCTTTGACAAGATTTTCACGTTCAACAACAAGATTTTCAGTTAAATTTAATGTTTGTCTTAACGAAATAAAATATAAATAAATAATTGAACTAGTCTTTAAAATATTAACTTTGCTCTGTCACGTTTTTCTTTTTTCGTTTGAAATTGTAATTGAGATATATAAATTTTTGATTCTTCAAGATTTTTTGTTATTTCTTGCAATTGTTGTTCAAGCTCAACTTTTTCCTAGAAATAATTTTAGAAATGCTCAGAAAAAACTTTTTTTTCTTTTTCTTTTTATTGTTTATTTTAATATACTTTTTGTAATCGTTCATTATCATTTTTCATTTCTGTATCATTTATATTAATATCAATTAATTTCATTTCTAAATCATTTTGTTTTTTAGTTATTTCAGCTAATTGTTGTTCTTTCATACGTAATTCCTCTTCCATTTGTTCTCGAAGTTCACGTTCCTTTAATTTTTCCTTATCAGAACAAGCAAATAAACGATATTAATGTTTTTGTTTTTTTTTGAAAAATTAAAACAAATTCATTTACTTCTTCGAGTACTTTGGCTTTTTCAATTTTTATTTGTTGTTCCATTTCATCATATAATCTTTTTATTTCATCATTATATACAGATGATTTACTTTGTAAAGCTGCTTCTATACTTTGATGATCTAATTTTGAACGTTTAATTTCTTCGGTAACTTTACCAATAAACTGTTCAAATTGTCTTAATAAACTTGGATCAGTTTCACGCAATTTTATCCAAAGTCCCATAATTGTTTCTTCATCATCATATAAACCTTTTGCTCCTAATGCTGCTAATGTATCATGAAATGCTTGTTGTTCTTCATTTTCATTAGGATTATGTTCAATCGATTCTGATTCACTTTCATTAATAGTCTCCATTTGATTACCAATAAAATTACCAAAACCAGCTTAAAAGAAAGAAATGATTGAAGAAAAATTTCAATATATAACTTACATGTAAATTCGTCAAGTGTTAAAAAACCATTATGATCGATATCTAATGAATCAAAAACATCTTCCAGTTGTTCGGATTCAACACCAAGTTCATCACGTAAACGTTGTATATCTTTTTTAATAATAAAACCTTTTTCTTCTTTATCACATATTTTAAATAATTCTTGTGCTTTAGCAGATATTAGTTCTTGAATATTACTAGTTATTTCATCAACCATGATTTAAAGACCAATCTAAATCTTGAGAATAGAAATTAGAACATATTTCTTACTGCACATAAATATTTTTTTTGCAGAGATTTTTCTTATTTATCTCCCTGTGTATCATATGTGTTACTCAGCTGTTGCTTGGGCATATATTTCTTTATGATCTACCTACACAAACTATTTTCACCTTAAAATAATAGTTAGAATATTTAAGTTATGAATTGAATCGAGGGAATAATTAATGTGGGTAAGAAGGACAAGGGTAGGATCAAATACTGACTAAATAAATGAATACTTAAGTAGCTTTATGCGTCTGTCATTTTTCATGTATTTTTTTACTTATTCGTTTTTCTTTTATATGACCCTCATCGATATGTACAGGAAAAGAGAAAAAAAAAAAAAGAATATCGACGCAGGGATCTCAGTAGCAGTGACAGATGCTGCCTGAATGGCTTGGATCAGGACACTTGATATGAGTTGTTTTATTTCGAGAACGTCATTTACATAATGGACTTAAACGATCCGTATCAGAACAATCATTGGAAGTAGTCGAAATATATAAAAAAAAACACATATTTTGACTTATCACCAACGTTTCTTTTTTTTTTCAATTGAAAAAAACAGACGATATTCTAATAAATCAAAATCGATATTAATCATAACAAATGAAGAAATTCTTTCATAGAACATTATTTTTGTTATTTAGTTATGCTGTCGAATTTTTTCGGCTCAAATTGAAACTGTTTTTATGTTTGACATATGGCACTATTTAATTGCACATGTTTTCTATCGAATTGATAATGTGATATAACTTTCAAATGAACCATTCAGTCAAATAACTATATAAGCTCTGTATTTTGATCTTTCATACTTTACACAAGGACACCTTTGCTTTCTTTTCTGATTGATGTCTCGAATTATATGAGAATGAATTTGTTATAAAATCTACCTGTTATTGCAGATACAATCTATGCAACATCGCAAATATAACATTAAAACTAACAATAATTGTTTTTATTATTATTTAAGATCATCTATATTGAAATACAATAATGGCATATATTATTCGTACGATTAACAAAAATTTCGTTTTGACATTTGAGACTCACTTGTTAATAATATTATCAGCAGAAAACAAAACACGTTTTATTTCCATAAAAATATTTTCGAAAAAAAGAACCATAGAAATTTTTATCATGAACTGATTGAAATTATGCTTAAAAAGTTACAACCGCTATTTCAAGACGCATGTTGTCATGGTTTCACAGAATTCCTATCGCTATGTTTCTTATAACTCTCAATTGTTCATAGCTATTGAACTGAAATCTTTTTCACTGAATAGAGCAATATAGATGATAACTTTCTGTCTAAGACTGATTAAGTTTGAGGAACTTTTCTACAGCCGCTAGCAAACTGATGTGAAAAAATTGAATAATATATGTTTTGAAATAACGATTGTAACTTTACAAGCAGAACTTTGATCGGATGCATGGTAAAAATTTCCTATGTTTTTCTTTTTAAATAGCATTTCGATGGATATAACACTATCATTAAAGGTGTCTCAAGTATGAAAAACATACAAACTAGATTTTTATTAATCGTACGAATAATTATTATCACCATGGTATCTCAATATCTTTCTATAATAATACAAAAAAAGTGATATAAAAAAATCATTCGAATAAGATTATGTCCTTCTAACTAACTATTTCTAAAATAATATGATCGATAGAACATCAGTTGTTATAGTCACACATTGAGAGAGATTGTCAATAACAGTCACGATCATATTCTATTGATCTTTAGACTTTCGATGAATAATACTCTCAATCCAATTGGGTAAATAAAATCTATATAAAGTCTATAATAATTCAACCATTGTTCCGTTTCTAATAATAATCATGTAATACTTTTCATTAGTTATATATTCACTATGATACTATATTAATCAGATGTTTTCATGGTGTATCTTATAGTAAAAGTAACTTCTCGTAAAGTATCGATTGAAATGTCTTCTTTTGAAAATCTGAAACTATATTTGATGATCCGTAAACATTCTTTCAAGAAGCAAAGAAGATGACTAAAAAAACTGGCTAACTATTGAAGAGTTTTATTTTGTATTTGTTGGTCATCGAATTTGTAAATTTCAAAAAGCAGTATGAAGCTACACATACTTTGAAACAATAAAAATCAAGCTGGTATAAATTACATAGTTATAATTACAGATGATAATGTACGTATAAAATGTTATTTAAATGAAATACACTCCAAGAATATCAAAACGAATCATTCGAATAAAAGAAATCGAAGCATAAAGAATTAAATTCAAGAAGCTTTTCAGTACAGTTTGTCTCAATATTTTCTCTATTCAGTCTATCATTATTGGAGATGATCTGTAATGCTGTTAATTGAATTCGTTGTAATTAATCATCTGTTTTTCTATAGGTCAAATAGCTGTATATGTGGTCTATTTCAATAGGCCATTTTCTTTTCTTTAATTAGACGTAAACATATAATTGACGATATCGATGAAAATAGATACAACTGGAAAATAGCTGTTATTTGCATAGTTGGTGCAGGGGCGGATCCAGTGACCACGGCAGGATACTTACATTGATTACGCAATATTGGAATAACGATGTAATTCAAATATTCGGTGATCCATTTAGGGGTTCAACTACTGGAACCGCCTACTGGCTGGATCCGCCCCTGAGTTGGTGCTATTTTAGTTCTCGCTACTTTTTTCAGTCAAACACGTTAATAGATTACGGAAACATCAAGCAGAAGAAAAAATTTTTAGTAGTGAAAATTATGATGTTGATGATCTTGATGATGATGAACCTTAATATAATATTATCATTCAACAAAAACATCAAACATGTGAAAACTACTTCATTCGCTATCACCTAGTAAATATGAGTAAATGTATTCAATATGTATAACAAATAAGTTTTTAATACCTAATGATCAATATCGCATTAACTTCAGCAAGAAAAAAGACAGCTTTAAGAAGAAAAATAAATCATATTGAATTATTTATCAATCAACGAAATATTCGACGACAACTGGAATCCAAACTTATATATCAGCAAAGTCAAAATGACATAATAGAAAGTATCATATTAAAATGTACATCAACAGAAGTTATTTTTATCTGAGTGTCACATGTGGTTGGCGGATTTTTTATTATTTAATCAAAATAAATATCAATTGATGAAAAATAACGCCCGCTGAGATGTTTTTGTAAAATGAAATCCTCATATGTGTCTTGTGAATTGTTAATAATTTCTTTTTTTCAAGTTGTATTATATATTCAGTTGATTATAAATTTTAAAAAAAACATACATGAATTTATTTAAGGAATATTTGGAATTAAAAATGAAGGTAAATGATTATTAAAAAGACTAATCTTTTATTTTCTTATTGTATATAATCCATATTTCATGCAAGAAGACTATATATATATATATGTGTATATGTTATTAACCACACACATACAAACAAACAGTAGTTTGCCGCATTATCATTTACATAAAGACAGTATATGACGGCTCGTTTGTCTAACAATATCTCATATACATCGTGCCTGTTTTTTCTTTTGTTTTCAATAATACTATGTCATTTAGCTCGAGGAAAGAGACGCTGGAATTTAGTAAATGGCGATGATATAATAACCAAAGCAATCAATTTGAATATTCTTTTTTTTTGATAGAAAAATCGCATGAATAATTGATGAAAATTCTTTTGTGGTATTGTTTGTTGTTGTTTTTCTTGTATAAGATTCTAAATGCGTCGGTGTTCCCATATATGACAAAAACAACAATCTACTTAGTACTGTTCTTTTTCTTTCTGTCCAGAAGAATAGAAATGGGTTACTGAAGAGTTTTTTCTCTTGATGTCTAACAAAATATCTTCTGATGGCAAATAAAGTTAGAGACAAAAAAAAATAGGTCTTTATCTGTGATATTTTGGCTATTTCTCTCGACGAATGTTAGCGACAACGTCTCTGCTTATATAAAGAAAGATATTTTAGCACCCTTCTTTTCTGTGCGGCTTAATGCAAGTAGTACATGTTGTTGTCATTCACAAGGACGATGAGAAAAAGAAAGAAATGGACAAAAAACCGCATAAAAACTACTTGCTAGTCTAAGCTAAAGAGAAAAAAAAACAGAACGAATATTACCAGATCAGAAATATGGTACCGTCTCCCCCTACATAGCCAAATAAATACAATCCACATAAACAGATAGATAGAATACTAGTATATGCAAGTACATAATATGTAAGGTTTTTTAGATGAATAGATAGACGTAGAATAAGTAAATGCAAACAGATTGAAGATATTTTATTTTGTATAATTTCAATTGCAAAATTGAGAATATTTTCATTATTTGTAGACGAACATGTCACGCCGAGCTCGTTCATTGAGTCGTCTTCGTGGTGCGACACCAGGACGTGAGGGAACTCCGTCTATTTACGAGTCTGGATCAAATTTTGATGGCACCGGTGGAGGTGGCTATTCAACACGCCTTAATGTTTATACACCTAATGTGTATGGAACATTATCTCGTATGGGCCGAGCTACTTCAGTAGCTCGATTCCAGGATGTCGACAATGAATTGTTCGGTAGTGGCTACAATCGATGGGATCGATCACGATCGGTAGGTCGTTTCGATTATTTAAGAGCAAGACGTCCTTATTCTGCATATGGTACACATGATTTCGATTATTTTGATCGTTATACAGAACGTATTCGGGATAAAACACCAATTTCTCTTGATAGTCATTATACTCATTATAGGCCTTATTATTGGTATCATACAGCACCACGTACCTTTTATTATTATTTTCCATACGATGATTGGCGTTATCGACCACTTTACAACTATCGTTCACCTGCACTTTATTCAGCTGCAGGTAATAATTCATTGTATGATTACCGTTTTAATGATTCAATTGATCGTGTATCGTCGTTAAAACGTGCCATGCGTGATATTGATTATGACCGTGAATTACGACAATTACGCTATCGTACACCATCAACATATTCGGCTCTTACACATGATAGTCAATATTTAGGTCGAGCACGTGAAGATGTTCGACGTGCTATTGATTTTCGTATTGGTAGTAGTGGTATTTCGAGACTTGATAATCCAAGAGATTATTTTGGACGCAAAGTAAGTGTGAACCTTTCTTTTTTCGGAGTAGAGGGCGAGGAAAGGGAATCGAGAGATAATTTTTATTTTAGTATCATCATTATGATTAAATTTATGGCTCAAATAGATTTGTGTGATTCACTAATATTGAGTTTTTAACAAAACTATTTTCTTTTTCTATCATAGTTTAGCGTAACTTAACAAACAAATACTAATCTAAATCATTTATACTAATTTGATTCTCATTGAATAAAGGAAAATTTTCATAATTACATGTAATTTATTGTTTTATTTTTATTAGTATGTTCAATTTGAAAAAGATGGTGTTAATAATGTCGGTGTTCAATATAACGGTTTAACAAGAACTGTAGAACATAAACCAAGTTATTGGAAAGCTGAAGATAATGTTGAAACAGGCTAGTAAGTTGTATTTTTTTTTATTGTTTTATTATTATTGAACTATACAAATGAATTTATCAAGTGATTTACAAGCACAAAATGACGATACATCATATAAACTTTATGATAATCAAGATAGAATTGATGCAAATCGTGAATGGCTTTTACAAGATAAAGCCGGTATTGCTCCCCGAATGTATTCTTTTGATATGAATTCTGTAAGTTATTCTATTTGATATTAAAAAAAATATCATTTGTTATGCTTATTAATTTAGCGTCAGGCTCGTCGTGATGTTGATAATTCATTACGTCTCGTTCGTAATCTGAAACAATTTAAACACGAGACATTTAATCGATTATCACAACCATGGACATTTGGAAGATACGTTTATTAGAAGAAAAGAAAAGAGAAAGGGCATTTCCAAGGATGTCTTAATAAGCAGAAATAACCTTCTCGTTGAATAAGGAAGAAAGTCGTTTTGTGTCGCGCTTCTTTTCTAATTTTCTTTCTTATGTGTGAACCTTTTTTCCTTAGCCTTTCACTATGTTAAAAAAATGCATCAATTTCTTTTTCTCGTTAAAACAAAATATTGCTTTTTCTTTGTTCTTATTGTATTTTTTTCTCTATATTTATAATACAATTTACTTTTATACCAATATATCTACGTAATTCAGCCTATCGAAAAATAATAATATACACGCCAATGCTTTGTATTGAATTGATTCATTATGGGTTGGTTAGACAAAGACGTTCAATAGCAATGATTGATATTAGACATTTGTGCAAGTCTTTCAACCAAAAGAAAGAAATAATTTATTTGAATCGTTTTGATTTTTCTGCGAATGACTGAGAATTAGAGTTTGCCGATACTAAACTATTTGAACCTGGATTATTCAACGTTTTTCGCATTGGATTCCGAGAACTGTCGTCTTAATACCGGGTGTTCCAAAAGTTTTGCAACATTTTGTATTTTGCATTTATCTCGACTTGAGAAAATGATAAAATCTTGATTTTTTTCTTAAAAGATGCGCCGTAAAAAGCTCTACAAAAAACTGTATAAAGAAATCCCTATTAACTGATTCTGATGGTTTTCCGACGCTTAATACGAATAACCTACATGGTAGTGCTATGTCCCAATATTAGAAGATGTTTGGAAGACATTTTTTGCTTTGCATATATCTCGATTTGAGAAAATGATGAAATNAGGCACCCCCGCTGCCCCCCCCCCCCCCGTACCCACACCCACGCCCTCACCCACCCCCACACCCACACCCACACCCACACCCACACCCACACCCACACCCGCACCCACACCCACACCCACACCCACACCCTTGTTTACCTCGACTTTTCGTTTTGGTTATTTTCATAGACCAATGTAAAAATCCAAATGATTTCTTTCGATTAATATTTACTTTACCTCAATTAAAATCGTGTCGATTTCATTATTACAATGGAAATGATATTGCACTTCCAATTACAACTAAAGAACAACATAGTACAATTGAAACTCTTGCTTTGTATACCGGATATTCTTTGAATGAAATTCTTACTCTTACATCTTATACACCCAATCTTCGTCGTTTGATAATACCTAATGGTATGGATCATAATATAAATATTCAAAGATTATTATCAATACGATTACCAAATTTGACTTACTTATCGACACGTTTCTATACTTTAAATTTTCATGAATTCGAAATTGTTATTAAAAAAATTTGTTCGACATTGAAAATTTTACATATTGAATTTCTAGTTCAAGATGTAAATTTTCTTGATGGTGATTGTTGGGAAAATTTAATTTTAACATCTTTACCTTATCTAGAAGAATTACATTTTATATATGATGAAGACTTTTCTCCTGATGATGAACAAATATATTCTGGCAGATTAAATTCATTCAATTCACCATTTTGGATTGATCGACGATGGTTTTTTGAAGTTGAAATTGATAGTGAATCTGTTAATTACATAGTTCGTCCATATAGGTACGTTGAAATTCGGTTTTCATATAAATTCATCTTTAGTTTTTGATATTAAAATAGAAAATAAAAATCTATATTAAACGAATAAAAATATTGATTATCATTACTCGACTTTTAATTAACAATATAAATAAGAAGATCAAGAAGAAAATATTTTCATATAAGAATTCTCTAAAAAGAAACTGTATTACTAGCAATTCTCGAAGTAACATATATACAATCTTCTAGAAATATATTTATTAATTAAATAAAAGATTGAAGGTTCGGAATTTTTCATGAAATCTAATTGTTTTGTTTCATGTAATATGCATTGTGTTATATACATTTTATTTTTATTTTTTTTACAGAAAAAGATGGTATGAAGATGTAAAAAATGAAGCTTTACATTCTCCTATTGATTATTCAAAATTGACTCGACTAACTATCAGTTGGTGCCGTGATGTTGATTTTAATGAAATAGTATTAGAATGTATTATGCGTATTTTAACAATAACAAATATTTATCATTTAGAAATTATTGAAGAATCTGTAAATATTCCATTATTTATTAGACTTCTCAATGTCTTAACAGATGTTGAGACATTGAAAATTCATTCTATAACATGGGATAACCAAGAATTGGATTATGAAGAGTTTTCAATGGCAAGTTCAACAAGGGAAAGCAGTAAAGTTAAAAAAGTTTATATAGAAAATTTGAACAAAATTGATGACATATTTTTACTTATGGCATTGTGTCCTTATATGACTTATCTCAAAATAGATCATATAAATGTTACAAATGATAATGTTGAATCGATTTTAAATTATTTTATTGGCACAAGTTATGATAATCAAAGAAATTTAGTTCGTTTGCTTTGTTTTCGTATTCCAGCTGCAGATGATGGAACTATCAAAAAATTAAAAAGAACGATAATTACTCGTGGAATCGCCTGCGATTATACTATCAAACGTATAATTGATCATGTTTATATAGAATGGAAATTAGAATCAACTGTTGGTTCTTCATGAAGTAGTGTTTTTTTTGTTTTTATTCAATAAAATACATTATTATTGATTGTTAAAGCAGACGTTTGATGTTTGCAAATTTCTTTGCTTTATGTAGTAATAACTAATATAAGATATAGAAATGATTCTAACAGATCATAATTCAAAAATTACAATAAAAAATTTATGCTGGCGGAGGCATTTGATTTACCGAAATATGAAATAGAAACCGTCATGCCATTGCTTGAAGTTGTTCATTAATAGCGGCATAAAAAGATCATGTTTTCTATAGATATTTAAATTCAAGTTTGTTCCAAACATGATGCAAGACGGAAGTGAATGTGGATATCTCTTTTTCCTTACATCGACATCTCACATTCATACTCAAGAAAGATTTCAACAAGAAAAATTCGAATCACAAATGGTATGGACGCAGAGTTTTGATGTGGGTGTTCGAAGAAAAAGAAAATATAGATGCAATCATATTTATACTCACCATGAATATTCAAATTCGCTCAAACTCATATTTTCTATATCAATGACGCGCTATTATAGATAATTAATTTAATGTCCATAAGTTAAAATGAATTTTTTAATTAGTCTAAAACTCAGATAAAAATTTTTTTTTATTAAAATGATCATTCAAACTTATTTTGAGCTATGTAATAGAAAATTTCTTTTTTTTCTATCCTTCTTTTTTCAAAGAACTCACAAGAAGTTGATTCGAAAAGAAGTCCAAAGTATAAATTGAATTAAACAATAGCAATAAAGAGATAAAGAATTTGATGAAGTATCGTTCCATTATTTTGGTTTTCTTTTCGAATCTATTTTCAAAGAAGGTACATTGGAAAATCTTATATAGAATGTCTTGTATTGAAAAGTTACACCAATCGATTAGCTCATAAATAATAAATTATCTTGACAATGATGAGTAAAATACTTATATTTATATTTACATATTAAAAGTCAGAGAATTGATTATATAGTTTCATAAGTAACAAATACTAAAGATAAAATGGTACAGTTATTTATTTGACTTACAATATAAATGGACTTTCACAAATATTATCATTTTGAAAATAATTAATAAAATAAAATAAAAATTCGTCGATTTATATCGTTTATGACAAAGAAAGGAGTAAATGATCAAGACTTCACTATGATTCATATACTCAAGTAAAACTGATGAACAGAAAAAAAAATATATAGTAAAACGATATACGAGCTAGCAAGAAGTCATCAAGCCTTGCCAAGATTTATCTAATCATAATAAACAGAATGAGAATTTATTATTCTACATTTATTCTTTTGTTTACAGTGTAGAGTGGTCAGTGGGATATGTACAATAACTCTTGTGAAAACTATTGACTGTACTAAATATTTCCTAAAATGACTGATAATCTCTTGATATACACATATTTCAAAGATCTGAAATGATCTAATTATTTGATTGATGTTTCAACATTTTAATATAAATAGAATTCCTAACTGAGAGAAAAGCTCGAGTTATCATATGAGTATAATTTATAGAAAAAGAGGAAAAAATATGGTAAATAATGTGATTATAGACAATTTCTTATGGCTCGAATGAACATTGTGTGCTATTTAGATTTTAAACATTTTATACTCGTTGGATAGCGTTTTGTTTGTTCTATCCAAAACCATTAAAAAATCTCTGGTATCCTTAGAATTAACAGAGAAATATAACTTACAATGAAAAGAAAATAAGACAGAAATTTTGAAAAATCATTAGGGTTGATTTATTTTCTTGAATGTTGTACTAACAAAATGAAGAACAATGAGTAAATGAAATATACAGTTTTCTCGAGAACAATTTTCTCTATCAAATGGTATATAACTCGAAAAGATTCTAAAAGTTCATTGTAGAAAAAATTGGCAAATACTGTCTTACCGAATTTCAAAAAAAAAAGAATTTTTTCAGAACCTATTGAGAGTGATTTCAGTTTGTATTCCACAACTTTTCAGAGGTAAGTTGAAATGAGCTGAAATCTTAGATTCTTAGTTTTTTCAATTTGCTCTTTCATTTTCAACCATAAAATATGAGAGTCAAAATTTTCGAGTATGGTCTTATTGAAAAATGTTCGATTTTCTCGTGAACTCCCTCTTAATTAGTATAGATATTCAATATAAAAAATTATAAAGATTTGAATGAAAGTAAAGATTATATGAGATTATATTCAAAAACAGACTAATAACTAGCCTGATTAATTAATTTATTTATATTACATTAGAACATGGTTTCGATTTTGATAACTGACAACAAAATTTATTTATTTCCTAATAAACTATTTTGGAAATGGCTAAACTAGAAAATATTTATCTTGTAACAGAAAATAATGATAGAAATGAAGATACATATATAATAATCAATATATTGAAAATCTATATGTTATTAAAACAAATAATCAACTCGAAGAACTTCCTACAAACTATTAAAGGTACATTAAATCAATAATGATAGTTACCAAATAATGTTATTATATGGTAACTGATCTGAACAAAGTTGATATTGTCCATCATTCATGATGAAACCTTCTTAGATCGTTCATTTAAATTTCAATGATATTTTTTTCTTGTAAGTATTACTAAATAGAATTCTAATAAAAATCCTAAAAAAACTACGCTTCATATTTGGATATGACGAAGCTATCGAGTTTTTAATATGTTGATTTCGTCACTGAAAATTCTAATTATAAAAACTTTATTCTTTTAGATTGATAGAAGATAAAAACTTGTTGCACTTCTTCTGTGAGAAAATAATTATAAAACTATGAAAAAGAATCTCTATACCTAGAATGACTCAAACCTCGACGAAGTTTTCTTCAAAAACTTCTGCATTGTTCTCATGGATACTTTTCTAATCGAGTTTTCTGTGTACACAAAGTGGTTACGTTGTTTGACACATATTCAGAAGGTAATCGTCTCCCAGTGTCGTAAATACGTGACAACATGGATTTACTCTTATGACCTATACACTTAGTTATTGGATGTGGAGAGGTCAAACCATTGACTACAAAAAATTAAAGTCATGATGGTTTTTCTTGTTAAAGCTACAACTATTCATAGTTATAGGAAACGTCTTGGGCTGATAAATATAGCGCATAGTAGTTATCTCAGAGAAAAGAATCGATTCAGATTTCTTTTAGGTTTTTTTCTAATCTTTTTCACATAGAAAAGTCTACAATAATTTAACTAACTTATGTTGATAAAACGTGATCACTATTGAAATTCTCATCTCGAATCTGTATTTTTGTTCAGTTATTCAAAAATTGTTAATTACGGATCAATTACCAAGAGAAGATAATAAGCTTCTATTTTCAACTAATAATGAAAAATTTTCTACAATATTCCCGATAATTTTAAAGAGAAAAATCTACATCTACAATTCTAAATCTTTTTTCTTTCTCTTCTACGAATTTTCTTTAGAATAACTACAATTAAAAATCGAAATATAAATATACAATCAATACAAAAAAAAGAAATCATTATTTCAACTGAACCAATTTATCACGATCTTAAAAAATATAATCGTATATTCCCGGTTGATTAAAAGAAANTTGTTATTAGTTCTTTTAGAAACTGATTTAACATAATTCAACTTTTGAATGAACTTGCAATTGGCTTAAATCAAATTGCAATCGAGTTCAATCGTTAGTAATCAATTTAAAATTTATTTACTTGATTTTTGTTGATTCAGATTCCAATCGATGGAAGACATGAAAATTGATTTCCGACTAAAGTTAGATCCCTAGTAAAACAGTCGATAAAAGTCGATTAAGTGGATTCTTTTTTCCATCGATTCTAGGATTATAATTGATATTGATACGGTTATAGCGGAAAATGTTGATTGTTGGGAGAAAAATTGAGATTTATGTATCGATAATCAAATATAATTCTCATTTTCATATTAATACCCATGTAAAAAAAGTTTCTTGAACAATCACTAATAATCGATTAAAAATTAATTATAATCATAAAACGATTTTAATCAATAATTTAAGCAGAAATAGTTACAAAAAAATCAGCATTCAATAGAACTTTTTTTACATGGGTACTCTTCAGTGGAATATAAAAGACGGTGAAAAAAAATCAGATTGAAACAGATTCTTCAACAGTAATCATAGAAATTCGATCAAATACACCACATTTTGATTAAATTCAACGAAATAATAGATTAAAATAGGTTTTTCGAGAAAAGAAGCAATTAAAACTTTTTTTTTGGGGGCAAATAATATAAATAATTGATTACAAAATCAAATCTGTTTTAATAGATTTCTGCCTTAATTACACTATCTCAATATTTGACATGAATTAATTCTCTTCTTTTTATTTTATTTTATTTCAATTTTATATTATTAATTTATTAAAATTCGTGATATTTCATATGTCGATGAAATACTTCTTTAGACACTAGATTTAAGACAAATGACATATAAGTATATGCAACTCATGAAAAAAATTTTTGTAAAATTTGCCTTTCAACGTGTTTTTTTTTCTGGGTCACATGTTTTCGGTAGACTTTAAACGCTGTTTTTAAAACGCACTGAAACGCATCTTTTTAGTGATAAAAGCAGATATGTATCGACTAGAACATGTTTCTAAAAATGCATTGCAATGCGTGTTTTTTGACTGAAACGCATTTAAATGGCATTTTATTATCACAAAAAAACGCATATGAGCGATCCCTCGGAATCATTCTGAAAGTATCCCATTTATAGATAATTTTCCAGTAATGATGACTATATTTATCTACTCTGTGTGTATATACTCCCTAAGAAGTTAGCAAGAATTATACTTGTATTTTCTTCTTCTAAAAGATTATTTTACACATTTACCAAGAATATATGTAAAAAATGTCTTTTAGAAGAAGAAAACACATGTATAATTCTTGCTATTTTCTTAGAGAGTACATATACACAAATATAGCCATCAGCCTCGGCTGGCTGAGTGGCATCGCCATCTGACTCTTGAGTCTGATTCTAGAGTTTCGATACTCTGCCTGAGCACTATTCTGTGTCATCGATGATCAAAGTCAATGGTCTTCGCGCCACAATACTAATTGATTACTTCATGCAAACTGTTTATTGATCGACTCGACTGTTTCTCGAACTTGATTTACTCTAATTACTTGTAAAAACGCGAAAGCGATTGGAAACCGGGATTTAGGGTCTAGTTTCAGTACTTATACAAATCGAATAAAAATAAAGCATTAATTGAAAAATAATCGATTTTAAAAGTATATTTCTTAATAAAAATAAATAAAAGATTTTTTTATATTCTATGCTTCACCGACGTTTTTAAAGTTGCCGAGGCTGGTGCTGACGAGCAAAATAATTGGACTTGACAATTGTCGATATTTTTGAGTGCACTTTGGAAAATCGAGTTTTCAAAAAAAACAGACTTGCTCTATGAAATATTTATAACTATGCTATCGGTGTGTAGAATATAATTTTGAATAAAACGGTATAAATATTTAAGTAAACTGTGAAAATATTTAGAATTTTTCTGTTTCTCTCATATATTTTTTCTAAAATTCTAAGACGAATTTTGTGAAATAGTTGAAAATTCATCAGAATCTCTATTAAAAAATTGTCATTAGGATTTTTTTTGTTGTTTTCTTGACCATCCCAGTTGGACAGTTCAATAACTGTTCTTCTGCTAAATTTTTCGCTGACAAGAGAAAGTTGTTTGAGAAATAAAGTTAACAATTATTGTTTATTTTGAAGATGTTATTTCTTTCTGGGACATTTCTAAAGATTAGTCGAACAAAAAAAAAACAGAGTTCGAATCTTGCAGGATAGATAGTTTGTTAATAAATACTCTAAAATGATTTAGGTTCATATTGATATTTGACTTAGCTGTTGAATTTTTAATATGTCGATTTTTGATTTGAAACATATGAAATCTTCAAGATATATAGATCCTTCTAAATGGATAGTATATACAACAAGAATTTTTTGAAAACTTCATTTTTCGAAGAGACTTTATTTAAAGATTCTGAATTTTTTACTTGAAGCTAGTCTAGTTGAGTTCTCTATAAGCACAACGTTTTAGATGAAAATATGAAAACTTTCAGTCTCTAGAATGTAGACATATTAAAAATTGGATAGCTTAATGAATTCTCAGTAGAAGTCAAAATCTTTGCAGGATTTTTATTAGAATACTATGCAGTATCTTTAGACAAAAAAGAAAATCATTGAAATCGAAAGGAAGAAGCTGAAGACGTTTCCTCGTCAGTAAAATACAATTTGTAACAGTTATTAAACTTCGTCAAAAAACATTTTTCCCAATGATCATTTAATAAAACTAGTTTCGAATTGTAAATTCACCAATGAGCATCATTTAAAATAAAATTATATTGTTTTGTTTCTTTTGAATATATTTAAACATTTATCGTGTCCGTAACAAAATAGAAATTGAGTAACAACGAAAACAACAACAGAAAAAAATAGACCCTTGTAGAAACAAACAAGAGATTGCTGAAGTCAATAGAAGAAAAGAAACAAAGAAAAAACATCAAGTTGAAATATTGTCATTAGAATCACTATCAATATCTAATAGACGAGCTTTCTGTTCAATAATTCTTGTATCAACACAAAATTCATTTGAATCTGGTTTTGAATTAGGTAAAAGTAAAGAAAACATTAATGCTATGGTGGCAAGCAAAGCACCAAAAAGAAACGGAGGACCGGGAACATCACGACTAAGCATTGATGAATAATTTGATTTTTCACTAATATGTATTGTTGTACGATTCGAAATAGTCGACATTGTTGATGTCAATGGTGGTACTGATTCATTTAAATTAACATTAAATAAATAAAAAATAAAACCAAACAAAGCTGGACCAAGACCATTACACAAACCACGTACACCATTAACCATACCTTGAACAAGACCTAAAACAAAAGCAAATATTTAAAAAAATTGTTTTTTAATATATTCTTGCCTTGTTGATTATCTTTAGCATAAATAGAAACAAATGCGCTTATAGATGGATAAGTAACAGATGATAATGCAGCTAAACCACCGGCAAACCACATAACCCTAATATGGGAAACATTTATCTAATTAAAATTTTATGCTTTCTTTTTTTATCCTACCAATTTGATGTAGCTATTCCATAAGCTGCTAATTGGACAATTTGAAAGAATAATCCAACCATAATTGTTTCTTTTGAACCAAAATAACGTTGTAAACAAGCTAATAATGCTGTCTAAAATTAATAGAATTATTAGTGCTTGAAAAAAGAAAAGAAACAAGTCCTCTTTACTTGAGCAATACATGAGAAAATACCAACGAATGCGATGAAATAAGCTATTTCATCTTCTGAAAATCCAAGCATCTATAAATATTGATACATAAATTTAATTTATGAAATACATAGTGGGTACCAAAATTATTTAACAAGATTTATTTTCAATTTTTGTTTCCGCTGCTATAAACATTAGAAAGAATCCAAATAGTAGAAAAAAATGATTTCCAACAAGAATAAAAGGAAATAAAAATGATTATCAGATCTGCAAAGATAAGAACTCCAGAAAAACATATCACCGAGTTCTCTGCGATGTTTTTTGACTGAAATACAGAAATGTCATTGCAGGTCAAAAAAACGGTTTTTTCTATAGGAAATTGAAAAAAAAAACGATTTTAGGGCCTTCCATAAGATTGTCGTATTTCAGATAAGAAAACTTACAGAAGACTCGAAGATATCTCATTTTGTAAAGAATTATTTGCTCTATCACTCTATGTAGTCTAAACAAAATTATATCTATAAGTTCTACATGTTAATTTTCTAGTACTTGAACTCTTTCTAGTGCTTACAGCCAACAGCAGAAAATAATTGAAAATAAATCTTGTTGAATCATTTTAGTATCTACTGTATATAAATAAGACTTACTAATCGTAAATAAACAAAAAAACATGAATATTGTCCCGCTTCTATAAATAAATGAAATAAAAATAACTAATTAATTTTATAATATCTCACCGGGAAGATAAGATAGAAGAACAATAAGACATATAAGACAAATAAAACGATCATTTGTAATATTTCTAAGAGCCTAAACATATTCTTAATAATATATGAAAATGAATATGAATATGAAAACATACTGCAAATGGATCAATTTTATCCCAAGATATTTTTTGATCTGCTCTTAATCGCTCGGGTAATGATTCAGGTACAACAAAAAAGATAAATACTAAATCAAGAATAGCAACTACTGTACCTAATTAAGTCAAAAAATGAAAAAAAAAATGAATAAAAAAAAGTTTCTTTTCAAGTTAACATACCAAGTACAATCACAAAATTTTCACTATAGAGTCTTGCTAAATGAGCACCAATAGCTGGACTTGTAATTAATGATGCAGCAAATGTTGCTGTTACTAAACCTAAAATAAAAATAAACATTCAAATAAATGCACGACAGATTAAAGTAAACATACCATATGCAGTACTTCGTGAGTTTTCATCAGTAACATCCGCAACATATGAGTAAACAACACTGAATGTCACAGAAAAAAGACCACTGATACTAATCAATGCGAAATACCACCTAAAAACAAGTTTAACATTGTATCAATTGTGTTTCTGATCAGAGAAAAAGCCAAAGCAACATATTGGTTTCAACTAGGTATCAATTAATTTGAACGCTCACAGAAATAGAAACAAAAAATCTAGTTTAAATATATTTGAACAAGAATTTGTTTTTAATAAATCTAGATATAGAACGTCATAATCAGTTTTGCACTCAACTAAAACAAAATACTCAAGCCATTCTTTTAATTAACACTCACTTGAAACCAAACATTGCAATATATATAATGAGAAAAAGGAGAAAAAACTTTTGTCTACGAGCGTTTTATTTACATTGGACTTATTTTCATTAATGGAATTGGACAACATGTGAAAAAGACTGTTATTAATAAAAATGACTTCCGTCCCCATACATCCGAATAGGCACCAAGTAATGGTGAGCTTAAAAAAGTTAATAAACCTCTAAAGAGAAAACAACAACAAATTAAAATTAAAAAAGTATATATCACTTTACTTACTTTACTCCATGAATGACACCATTCATTAGAAATGTATGAGTTGGAAATGTTCGATTGAGTGTCTAGGAAACAAAAGTAAAAAACAAATGATAAGTTTTTACAAGCAAGAAAAAAAATCGTAAACTATCCTACCGAAATAACTGGATTAGTAAGAAGACCCCATGCAAAAAATTCAAGAAATATGACAACAAGTCCATGATAAACACTTGGTTTACCAAAACCACCGGGCTAAAATAAAAAAAAAAAAATTTAAAAATCAAGATTATACCATCAAGATCATTTTTCTGAAATTTATTAAAAAGAAAAACAAAATAAATGATATACTTTAATTATTTTATATCGTCTATTTTCAAATTTGACACGTTTTTCTTCATCATTATCCGTATATAGCGTTTCATCAAGATCGGTGACACAATCTGTCATGGCCGATGACGGAAGACGCCGTAAATCGTTTGATACCACTATTGTTGCCAGTAAATAATTCACTTATTATATACTTACGTAAATCAATAGAATAGGAAAATAATAAAAATGAACCAATAGCACGACGAAAAAAAAATTTATATTTAAATTTATATGAAAATATTTATATTGAAAAAGGAAGACCTATTTCATTTAAAATAATATATTCTATTTCATATAAAAATATGATAATAAGCATAAATATATATATTACAAATATATGAAAAAATCTTACCAAATTACTACGAGCAATATGATTACTAGCACTGGTTAAACGGCGACGCGTTTTTATAACGATCATAATTATATTTAGTCAGACCAGAGAACAAAAATATTGTGAAGTGTTCTTTTTTTCTTTGTTTTACTTTGAAAATACTCGTCATATATTCCAAACCACACCTTCCTGATCTACGACAAAAATTGTCTGTACCACCTGATATTAACTGAAGCGACCCCGTAGAAAAAGAGAAAGAAAAAAAACACCATTGGAAAATAAATTCTATGACTCATCAACATTTGTTGCTTTCTCATGTCGCAGATTTCTATTGGGAGATTATGTTAACTTATACAATAGTCTGATAGAGAGCGTTGAAGAAATCATATCAAAGAGTATCTATAACAAATAATCACATAACAATACTCATTAATTAATTTTTCTTTGTAATAAATCATATAGTTTAGATCTAAACTCTTTTTTTTGTTGTGAAAAGATGCAAGTGTGTTGTATATCTCGTTTAACTTCGAATACAATGAAGCGAGCATGTCCTATTGTTCGAAAATTATTACAATCAGGTTAAAGAAATTATTTTAATTATAATTATTTAAAAACAAATTATCGTATTTTTATTAGAAAGTCCGCGTACGACAAGTTTATTTCGTTGTTCATCAATGGGAACTAATCAACAAAACCGAGATGATGGCAAAAAGAACAATATGACAAATTTAATTTATATTCTAGGAGGATTAACTGGTGCTGGTATAATTTATTCAGTAGTATGTTTTTAATTTTGATTGATTTATTAATTGAATATGAATCGTTTAAGATTCGAAATCGAAAAATTTCTCGAGAAAAGCAACAAGCTCTTGCAGAATATGATGGTACTAACAAAACACTTGTTGACAAAGTAAAAGATTTACAAGATCGACAATCACTTGGTATGATTATTTTTATTTGTTTTTATCAAGGAAAAAAAAAGAGAAATTATGTTTTTTTTTTTTTTTTTTTTTTTGTCAAATTAAAGAAGAAGATTCCAAATTTATTAAAAAAGAAGAATTAACACCACATATTCCGAATTTTGCTCAATATTTAATTATTGGTGGTGGTGCAACAGCTATGAGTGCATTTAAAACTATTCGAGCACATGATGCAACAGCTAAAGTTTATTTAATTTTCTTCATGGATTTATATTTCATCTTATTCTATTAAGGTTCTTGTAATAAGTTCAGAAACCTATATGCCATATATGCGTCCACCATTGTCAAAAGATATTTGGTATACAGATGATGAAGATCTTATACAAAAACATTCATTTAAACAATGGAATGGAAAAGAGAAAAGGTTTTTAAATCGATATTTTATTTGTATTATTAAGATGTTTTTTTTTATTTTTAGTTTATATTTTTTTGATAATGAATTTTATACAGATGTTAAAACATTGAATGAACAAGAGAATGGTGGTATTGGCGTTGTTCTTGGAAGAAAAGTATGATTGAATATTCATATTTGAAAAAAAAAAGAAAACAAATTCTATTAAAATTAAACAACTAGGTTACTCAATTGGATTTAAAAAATTCTGTAGCAAAATTAGATAATGGATGGGAAATATCATTTGAAAAATGTTTAATTGCTACCGGTGGACAACCAAAACCTATGAAAATATTTCAAACAGCATCAAATCGTTTAAAAAGCAAAATAACACATTACAGAGGAGTAAGTGTTAATTATTTCTATAAAGTCTATGCTTCTATATTAACATATGAATACTAAACCATCGTATGCTTCAATGAATATTTTTGTAGTTTTTTCTTTCTTTCGTTCTGCGCTCGGTTTTTTTTTCTCTCCCTCTCTGTTTTAGCCTTCCATTTTTTGCGTCTAATACAGCGCAAAAAGAAAAGTAAAAACAAGTGTCTAAACGAACCAGTGAAAATGCTTGCATAAATAGTAACGAACATACAGACCATATACATTATTTATTCTTTCAATGTTGTTTCATACGTCACTAGCATGTCTTTTTTCCACATAATTTGTACCTGTATATACAAAAAATCATAGAAGAAAAATCCTTTCAATGTTAAACGAATCATCATTATCAACTATTCTATGTCGTATTGAACGTTTATTTGATGGTCAATCATCGTCGTCATCATCATCACACAAATTATTATCAACAAATACTGAAAATTTATTTCCTATTTCAACATCAAATGACTTTCTTCACGATCTTACTCTTAGTAATGACATTGTTGATGACCTAGATTGTTATCTAAAAAATGGTGATGATGTTTCTAGTAGTAGTCATACATCATCACCAGCAATTCCTCCATCATCTATCTCATTAACACAACAAACATCATCTGAATTTGAATTTATATTAAATGCTCTAACATCATCATCAGCAAGAATTAATGAAGAGACAACAACTTATTTAAATCAAGGTCAACCATATGAAATCAAATTTCGTGTTCATAATACGTCACCATCAGAAAATTTTCTTCCAACTATTTATCGTTCTATATTACGTTTATGTTTTTGGGATAAAATATTACAAAATCAAGAACGTGAATTAATGCAAAAATGGTTAAATGAATATCAATCAACATCATTATTTGATATTGATATGAATTTAACTTATGGAATTTTATCAATAACACGTGCAAGGCAAATACCAAATGCTATTGAAATTATTTGGGATACATCAACAACAACATCATTATTTATTCGTTTTAAATGTACATCAACTGATTTTGCACAAAAACGACATGGCGGAGAAAAAGGTATCCCATTACGTATACAAATCGATACGTATAATGAAAATGATGTTGACGATATTAAACATTTATATTCATGTTGTTGTAAAATTCAATTATTTCGTTTAAAAGGTGCACAAAGAAAAAATAAAGCAGATAAAATGAGAATTGAAAAATTAAATATTGATCAACGTCGATACTATCAAACAACATTTGAACATACTATATTACAACCATGTGTTGTTTCACCACTTTATACACTTAATCTTCTTAGTCGATCTTATTCACCGGATGATTTATCAAATGTTTATACACAATCTACAATGACAACAGAAAATATAACCGTCGAAAAAAAAGATTGTGATAATAATTTACAAGAAAATCGAAATGATAGTATTGAATATTTATCATCACCTTTATCGGATATAAATCATACTTATTCTGAATTGCGAAATAATGAAGTTATATTAACAACGAAAATTACTGTACAATCATCATGTGAAGAAGTACTAAATTGGTTCAATAACAATAATTTTTCTTCAGTTGTTAATCGATTTCAACATTATACAGGCATTGATCTTCTACGATTGACGATGAATGATATTCATCGAATATGTAATCGTGATGATTCCATTAGTATTCGTCTTTATAATCAATTACATACAACTGTTGTGGCACCATTAAAAGTGCTTTATGTTAAAACTACCGATACCGATCTTTATTCCGCTATTTATTTACATATATTAACTAGATATGAATTAGAAAAAAAAATTTTCGAATTAATTCAACAAACTCAACAAGAAAAATATAATTTAGTACTTGAACTAAATAGGATTAAAATAAAAATAGACAATGATGATGTTGTGAAATATTCTTTACCTGATAAAGGTCAATTTGACTTAAAAATATATTCTTGTGAAATAATTCTTCATTTGATAAAAAATTCTATGTAGTTAGAAGTTTTTTTTTCTTCTTTCTAGTCATAATATCATTTAATTGTAATCTACATTAATATATTTTATTTTTTCTTTCAGATCGACGATTTTTTTTCATTGAAAAAAATTGTTGATAGTGGTGCTGATATTGCTATCGTTGGCGGTGGATTTCTTGGAAGTGAATTAGCATGTGCTTTAGGTTATCGAGCAAAAGAACATGCTCAAAATGGAAAACCAAGTGGAAAAGTTGTTCAACTTATGCCGGAAAAAGGTAAATAAAAGATCTTGCTAGATTTAGTGACCTATCTTGAATCAGGATACTATATATATGGTTTTTTTAGAACAATTTACAGTGCATTGAATAGTATATAAGAAACCAAGTTTTTCTCAAATTTTGATGTGCCGAAGGTTCATATACTGGTTATAATCCTTGAGAAATACGTATAGATAATATCTGTAGACATTGTGGTACATAAGATGTTCCAGAATAAATTTAAGCAAATTTTATTTTTAAACTCGATTTGATAGAGTTATAGATGCTCTTCGATTTTTTATAATCAACAATTTTTATTGTTGTATGTTTCATACTTACAACTAGTCCCTGTTCTTAAGTCTATTTTAATCCTGTACCGCAGCACAAGTGAGAACCAGCGTGAAACTTTCTCAAAACTTACACACTATCGAGCTTTATAGGTTTTACACGTAACATCTTTCCAAACATTAGGAATTTATAGTCAACTCGTAAAAGGATTCCATTAAAAATTTTGATGTAACAATAATCAACACAGCATTCTTGATGAACTGATATGAATAACTCTTCCATAAACGGAGAAAATTCTTTGATCATCAGGCCCCTAAAGGAAGTACACGGATATAGAAAATTTTCTTTTATGAATTGAAAATAAGATATTTATAGATTCTTCTAAACTTTCATACATAAATCAAATCTGGATACTCAGAATGAAAATATGAAAAAGAAATAATAAAAATAACAGATCTTCTTCCTGAAATTGTATACTCGTACTCTTCCCTAGAAATCTGAAAGTTAAAAAGCTTTTTTTTCATTTAAAAAGCGATTATTTATATCAGGTTATCAGCAATGCTGTGCTCATTATTAATACATAAAAATTCTAAAATGATGGTTGAATATTGTTAAAATATCGTCAATAAATCGAATCTTTCGTACAGGAAAATAGTCTATTCTAGAGAAAAATCTTGCAAGTTGACAATAAATTCCTGCTATTTGAAAATATGTGACCTATAAAACATATACAACTCGATAATGTATAATTTTTGAGATAGTTTCACATTGCTTCTCACTTGTTCCGTCCTACAGAATTGAAAAATTTGGAATACCAAGTGGTCAAGAAATAAACTAAACCTAAAAAAAGAAAATAGTTTTAAATATGAAGAAAACAGTGATGGAAGCTACTGATTATAAAAAATTGAAGTGCATCTATAACTCTATCGAATCGATTTTAAAAATAAAACTTCCATAGATTTATCTTACAACATCTTAGGGACTACAATGTCTATGAATACCATATATATGTATTTCTTAAGGATTATTACCAGTAAATATATGAACTTTCAGCACATAAAAAGTTGAAGAAAACTTGATGTCTTAAACATCATTAGACGTGCCGTGAATTGCTCTACAAAACTACATTTATAGTATCGTGATCCAATATATATATATCATTAAATCCGGTAGTGTTCTTTAATAAATGATGTAATTAATTTTATATTATTTTATTAGGCAATATTAGTAAAGTATTACCAGAATATTTAAGTAAATGGGCAACGGAACGTGTTCGAGATGGTATTATTTTGATTTTATTATTTTCAATTTTTATTCTATAGTTTATTCTAAATAGAGGGTGCTGAAGTATTAACAAATGTTGAACTTGTTAATGCTTCAATTCAAGATGGAAAAGTTAATTTAGCTTATATTGATCCAAAAGCACCACAAAAAACCAGTTATATGATTGTTGATCATGTTGTAGTTGCTGTTGGTATAGAACCAAATGCTGACTTAGCAAAATCAGCTGGTTTAGAAATTGATTCTGATCAAGGTGGTTTTCTAGTTAATGCTGAACTACAAGCTCGTCATAATGTTTGGATTGCTGGTGATGCAGCATCTTTTTATGATATTAAATTAGGTCGACGTCGTGTTGAACATTATGATCATGCTATTGTCAGTGGAAAATTAGCTGGAGAAAATATGACAGGTGCTCATAAACCATATTGGCATCAATCAATGTTTTGGTCTGATTTGGGACCAAAAGTTGGTTTTGAAGCTATTGGTTTAACTGATTCAGACTTACAAACTGTAGCTGTTTATGCTAAACGACAACCAGAAGATGAAGAACCACAAGAAGATAATGAAGGAAATCGAGAACAAAAAGAAGTAGCATCAACAGCTAATGAATTAAAACATAAAATACCAGAAAGTAAAACAACAACAACAACAACAACAACTGACAATAAAAATGATTATAGTAAAGGTGTTGTGTTCTATTTAAAAGAAAATAAAGTAGTTGGTATTGTTCTTTGGAATGTGTTTAATCGAATTCCTATTGCACGAAAGGTAAAAGAAGAAAACAAAATGTTAAATTGAATTTCAAATATCAATATTTTCCTTTTTTTTTTTATAGATAATCAAAGATCAACAGGAAATTACTGATTTTCAGGAGCTGGCCAAACTTTTTAATATTCATCAAGATTAGTTTAGTGATTTTTTTTTGATTTCAGTGGTTTGCATTGATAATAGCCTATATGTCACATGAAAGTTCATATGTAACTTTAGATTAAATCTAAACTTTTGTGATTTGAAATAAACAGCTGTATTATTTCAATTTTTCATAAATTCATTATTCATTTTCATTTCAATATTCTTCAATTTGATGCATGTCATTTATATGTATAGTGAAGCTCCTATTAGTTGAACACATCTATTAGGTGAACCGTTCCTGTTTTGAACAAGGTTTCGATCGTACAAAGCAATCGATTATGAAAAATAAAAAGAACTTTGCATTGTACCGAAATTGTTGAGTGCAAAGTCACCTTGATCAATTTTCTCAGTAAATATTTTTATTTTACTCTGTTTCGATAAATCGAAATGTAATTTTCTCGGTACGTGTTCTACTCTTTTTTTAACTTGAATTATCAATAAAAATAGGAGTTATGAGTGAAGAAAATTATGAAACACAAAAAATGATCAAAAATTCAAATGTCACATTGGTGAAAATTATTATCTAGGAGCATGAAATTTTTTTGTTGCTATGTATTAATGATTAATACAGAGACGATGATCAAGTAAAACATAAAAATATTATAAATATCTCAGTAAAAACAAGGTAATAATCATGAATAAAAGAAAGAAAAATAATTGTAATACGAACTAGGTTATTGAGTAAAAACCATAATTGATAAAACCTTGTATACACTAAGCATGCAGAACATAAATATAATATTACATAATCATAGTAAGGTAATCAAATAATTTCAATTTTGTGAAACTCACATGCATTGTCGAAGAAAATAGTAAATGGAAGTTTCAAGTTCAATTTTTGCTCCGTTTCCTTTGTCCATTCCAGACCGTAGCAATTGAGAGCAACAGGCGTTAGATTTCGTTCTCATAGTTCCTTAGCAACGGGAAAAGGCGTTGAACGGCATTAACGAGAAGATATTGACTATTCTAGAGTATTCGAAAACTTTCATTGAAATTTGGATGATCAGTATACGCTTGTGAATATTCTAATTAGTTCTATTTCTTATTTTTTTGCGCAGATAAAATCTTTTACTTAAAATGTGAAGGATAATGGGTAGTTATGTATTGATTTGCCACAATCGTCATATTGATCAACGTAAAAAGCATCAATCGATCAAGTTACAACCTTGAAAATAATCAATATGAATGTTTGCGAGCTTATTGAGATACATCATAGTGGATCGAGACCTACTGAAGATATTATGAGTATATATAACAGGTTTATTTGCAAGTTTAATCAATGTTTAGAAGTATAATTATATTCAATGATGAATAACAGAATACGACAAAGAAAAAAAATGAGCGAATAACAACTTCTGTTTGAAATTCAGAAATAAATAAGAGATAGGTTTTCTGGCGATCGACTATCCTTGAAAAATACAATTATGGTCTACTAGAGGTTTTTTTTCACGTTACGTATTTTGTATTCGTAGAGCGATGCTAAAGAACATATGTGAGATCCCCGTTTCAACCCTGACGAGACTGTCCTGTCAAGTTTTTTCGTTTTCACCTATGGAAGAAATCATAATTGTACATCGTTTTTACTTTTCAATAATATCTAGATTTATTGAAAAAAGAATCGAAAATATTTATTTAGTATTAGTATAATCGAAACAAAACAAGCAACAGTGTCAAAAAAAAACATGAGAACAATTATTCATTTCATCGTGTTTTATATCAAATGAAGTCATTGTTGAATTTCTTGTCTCACAAAAATTCAATTGAAGAAGTTTACATGAAAGGGAAAATTATGATCGAAAACTATTTTAAAAATTCTTAACATATCTATAAATAGATGAAATTTTCATTTAGTATCGTTCAAATTTTTGTACTCGATGATTAAATGTGTCTGCTACATATAAATTGAGTTGACTATCCAATATTGCCCAGTAAGGTCTATTCAATCGAGTAGAACCTATTCCAGATGAACCAGTAATACCTACGATTGTTGTACCATTCGAATCACCGGACAAAAATAGTTGAATACGATGATTAGCTGTATCAGATATGTACATATTATTCATAGGATCTAATACAACACTCAAAGGATTGCAAAGTAATGTTGATGTGCTACCACTGATTCCACTCGCACTACCAGCAAGAAGTATCCAACTGGTAGCTCCTAATACCCAACGAACTACATTGTGAGCACCATAATTGACTATAATAAAACTATTCGTAAATGAATCAAAGACGAAACTGTAAGGTGCATTCAACTGTGTATTGCTCGTCCCTCTTCCATTTCCTCCTGCAACAACAGTTCCTGTTGATTCACCAGATAAATATTGCATTATACGATCATTGCCTGTGTCGGCAATGTACAAAGTACCCGAAGCTGCATTACGAATAAGTCCAGAAGGAAAAGAAAACTGATTGTTTGCATGTCCAGCAGAACCTGTAACAAATTTTCATACAATTCATTTTTTCCTTTCAATCAATATTAAATAATACAAATAAAAGATTTTTTGTTATGTTACCTGTAATTCCAGCAATGACCGAGCCAGATAATGCACCATCAGCCCAATACATAACTCGATGATTACCGCTATCTGTAAAGTAAATATTATTGTTTGAATCAAGTACAATACTGGCCGGCATGAATAAAGCAGCCAAAGATGAACCTGATACACCATTGGCCTGACCTGCTTCGGTTGTTCCACTCAAAGCATCTGAAACCCATTTTTGAATTCTGTTATTCTTGTAGTCAGTGATATAAATCGCATTTGATGAATCTAACGCCAAACTGTAAGCCATGTTCAATTGACTTGCGGTTACACCAGAAGATCCTGCAGCGCTTCCAGCGATAGTTGTACCAGTTACATTCCATCGAAGCGAATAGGCAGTAGCTATGAAATAAAAAATTATGATAGATACTTCATGATGTCTTAATTTTGATTATAAAAATAAATTACAATTGACCAGATCTATTCAATTTAAGCCAATATAATTTACGTACTTGTGTTCTATATTTCAGAGACTTACTCAAATATTAATAAATAAAAACAAGAAAGACAAGCATAATTAATTTATCGAATTTCTTTTCTAATGATTTCTATGTTTTTCGTTTGATGGCTCTACTTAAATACATATGAACTTTGTTTTTACTACAATGATAGTCGTTTTACAGTAGAGTATTTTTATATAAAAAATTGCTAGTAGAATCCTTGTAGGATTCAAATATGAAACACAATATAGTTGATATTTCTAATTACAAGACGATTGCTTTGTTCTATCTACTTTTGAACACATTTCTTCATCATTCTTTTGCTTAATCCTTCATAAATGCATTAAGGAAGTAGTTCATATTTTGTAACGACTCATTATTGGTATATAAGTTTGTGGTCAGCTGTTTCTAACGTGTCTGTCATCTCTGTGGTGAGAGGAGGGGGTAGAGGAGCTCCCAGTTTCTGCTTCTATACTTTAACACTTCTTTTGGATGATGTTTCACAAATATACAAAGCTGTATCGAACAGTACTGACATAGGTTGGACATAGTCTCCGAAAGAAATAGTCACTGTTATATACGAAAGCCTTCTAGATTTTTCTTTTTACTGAAAACTTAACAATAATCACTTATGTTTTTAAAATACAAAAATATACATCATGAAGCATAATAATTGAAATGAGCTCATAGTATATGCAACGTTATATCATCTTGAAAATATGATATAATCTTTCAGTAAAACAAATTATGAATAGCTGTAGATGAACTAAATACACTACATTTTCGTCTTTTGTAGACCTCAGATATATGATATTCTATTTTTCATTGATAGTCTGCAATATCTCAGAAAAATCTCACTTGTTGCAATAGTTGTGGTGGTCGCTGATTCTGTATCTAAAGCATATTTTAATGGCATAACAAATGCTGCTATTAATAATCCAATAAGAACTATTCCACCAAGAATCGTGATAGCAATATAACATACTTTTGATGATGTTGATTTTCTATTTTGATTTCATAAAAAAAAAAATTAGTTTATCAAGTACATATCATCAATTAAAAAAAACGCCATAGAACTTACGTAGTCTCACTATCGATATTTTGTCTTCGCAAGTAAGTATATGAGCCTACATTTCTATTAATAGGGTACACACGGTATGGATCAAATGAATACATTGCTGACTGAGTGAAAAAAACATTCCATTAATGTTTTATTTTTCGTTTTGGCGTGCAAGTGCTTTCATTCTCTTGAAAATGCATTCAGTAGAATGTCATTTAACGCAAAAACTAATGCAAGTTTTAGCATACATTTCAACAGAAAGAAAGTAACAAAACAGAATAAGTAAAAAAAAAGAAAAAACTCTATTCAGCACATTCTTTTTTCTTTCGTCTAAGCACATGATATCTATGTATTTGAATAATTTTGAAAGAACGTAAAAAAAACAGTATTGTAAAATCAATATTGTGTATCGGATTATGAAATTTAATATCCAGTATTCGAATACTGAAATAACATATATTATAGCAGATTCTTTCTGTTAACATATTTAATAAAATAATTTAATATTGTTATATGAATCTCTCTATTCTACAAATCATTTTATACATAGTTCATTTTTTAATATTGTTGTCACGTATTGACGTTAATGTGAAACGTTGGACATTAAGGTGAATATCTAGTTTATTTAATATGTAAGTCATGAAGAAAATAACAGAGACAGTATGTCTATGAGACGAAAGAAAAAAGAGAAGAATTGAACAAGAACGATTATGTGTGTGCAGTGATATAATCAAATATTCCATAGAATGAAAAGAATCTGCCTAGTGAATGAGTACAAAAACAACGGCAGAGATATTCCAACATACGTTAAAATAGTGCTAAGGACAATCATCAGAGTTATTTGTCACTACGTCACAGTAGTTATTACAAAATATTCAATATATATTGATTCTAACGATTTAAACAATGACATGGAGACTAACACGTTTTTTTTTGCATTCAATGCACTTTAATTAAAATATCATTTTCAATGGGAAAAAGATATTTTTGATCACTAGGTTTTATTTTTTGAGTAGTGATTTTTTATTATCTTGTCTTAGATACTTCTACACAATACACACAACCGCTCATCCACATTCAGCTATTTGTTTTCAGAAATCAAATAGATTCATGTATGGTCAAAGCGATTAGTAAATGAGGTTCGTGTATCTGTTGAAGAGCTACATGTTCATTTAAACCTGCTGTTTCTTGGGTTAATATTGTAACGAGAAATGAGCCGACAGCTTCTAGATAAAATAGTTGACTTGAATGTATTAAAATGCATTTAGTAGTGTATTAGAATTAGAATTGTGTGCTCTTTCAGAATATATGCTTAGAATTTTTCTGTGACATTTAACCATTGAGCTATGATTTTCATCTTCTCATCGTAAAATGACCTTTTGTTATAACTATATCATTTTTTTCCAAAATTAATCAAAATTCTTAATTCCGGCATCATTATCACCCTCGAGTACTATATACTTACAGAATTTATTTGATATATACAGAAAGTAGACTTGTACTTAGAAAAACAAGATTTTTAGCATCTCCAGAAAAAATTTTGAATCCTCTTAAGATTTACTTATAGTTCAATAAACAAAAGTTACAGAAAAATTCTAAAAGTAAGTTTCAAAAGAGAAACAAAACTCGGATTCTAACATATTACTTCTTTGAATTTCCTAATGCATTTAAACACACGAAAAATAGTCAAATATTTTGTCTAGAAACTTTCAGCTCATCGTTTATATATATATTGTTTATTGTGTACACTAAACTTTAATTCTTATCTAAACCAATTATATCCTTAACTAATTGATCTGGTTGATTATGGTGAACAGCACCTATAACTTATGGAGAAATAATTATATGAAATCAATGCTGAACAAAGCTCGTGAGAAAAAATACTCGCCTTTTTCAATGATTCTTTTTTTCTTTTTATATAAAAAATAAGACATTTGAATGATTTAATCAAGTCAACAATTCCTTAGCATTCAATTAAAAAGGAATGTATGAAATTTATTTGATAAAATCATGTATACGACAAATTCTCACATATGAAAAAAAAAAAACAATCTAAATTGAATAATATGAAACGCTATTCTTTGATTTTCTACATATGTATAGTTTCTTGTTAGTATCAAAATGCATAATTAATTTTGTTCATAAATTTGAAAAAACAAATATCAAGCCTTATAAATCTTCATCGAATATAATATGTCTAAAAAGAAAATTCATGCATAAACAATTTTTAACAATGAAAAGCAAAAAAAGTTCTTACTTTAATGTAGGTATTAATTTTGGTGCTTTATACATAAGTGAATGTCCATAACCAGCATGATGAAATGAAATCATATCAATTGTAAAATGAAGTGATTTTTTCTTATTTCTATTATCATCACGAACGGTTAAACCAGCTTGTAATAATTGTTTACTATGTTCATAAGGTATTGTATAATCATCATCAGCATGCAAAAGTACACATGGACAATTAAGACTTGATAAATGACTACGTGTTTGAAATGAAAGTTTACTTATAAGTAAAGCTTTTTCAGTTAGACCATAGAACCAAGGTTGCCAACGAAATAACTATAAATAAAAAAATTAAATTAAATTAATTTATTGAACAAAAAAACTTCTATTTACTAATGCAAGATAATGTGTTTGTAAAGCTTGATGAATATTTATAAATGGTGCTTCCATAACAATACCAGCAAGACTTTTACCTAAAATAACTAAATAAAAAAAATTAAAGAAAATTATATTCGTACTTTCATCATCGGATAATCTTGCTGCTAATTGACAAGCAATAGCTGAACCAAGTGATTGACCCCATATGTATATTTTTCTTTGACCATTACTTATATTGTGTAACCAATCATAAACATATCGAGCATCTATAATTAAACCTTCCTCTGTTGGTTCACCAGTTGAATCACCATAACCACGATAATCAAATGTAAAAACATCATATTTTAATTCTTTGCGTAATTTTTCACACGTTCCACGACGATTAAACATTGAGCTACAAAAAAAAATTGAGTATTTCGTTTTTCTCAAATAAACACAAATGTATTTATTAAATACCGATCAAAAGCATTGCCATGAAAATAAATAATTATTGGAATTGTTGATGATTGTGATATAATATGTTTTTGAAAATATTCTTCATCTGTAGTATATGACTGATCTTGAACAAGTGGAGAACGATAATGCCTAGCAATATATAAAGATTAATAACAAATAATATACAATATATTGAATAATTGATTTCAGTAACAACGTAAAAAGTCTATAGAGAAACACATTTATTGATTTCAACCGATGCTTAGTAAAAAAATAAATGCGAAAACCTCGGATTTAAATCCGAGTGTTATGTGTACTTTAAAAAGTGAACAGGTATATTCACTTTGTTTTGTATCATCTGAGACATATCTAGCCTATTTGATTTCTCCATGCAGTTTTTATGCATTTGTAGACCTTTTTCAGCCGATGTTTTCTTAGAAAGCTACGATTTGGTTCAAAACTAATATCAGATTCGGGATCACCATTAAAAACTGAGTTGATTTATATATGTTGTGAATAATTCCGAGAAAAAATTTTTTTTTTGAAAAAATCCCTGGAACGGAAAAGCGACCAGGCCCTG